TTTAGTTATACCAGATTTCTCTTTCCAAGTTTTGTTGCTCAAGAGAAGAAAAGGTGATGGGAGGAATGCTTTTTCAGTAGTGAGGGTGAGCTTTGGGACCTCCTCCACAGTCAAATGAGAGTACATAGGAAGACAAAAGACGAGATGGATACTAGGGTTTTAGTGATAGCACCTTTAAATCAGTAACTGCGAACCTCTAATTCATCTGACCACCTGCGGCTATAGAATACAATGATCTTACCATTGCTAACTGAGAAGGAAGGTGACCAGAAGAATATGGATTTGTTTTGAATCCTCTGTAAGAACACGCAGTAAAAAGTGCCCAAGTGTTGCCTGCTCCTGCTACCCTAATTGCTCTGTCCCCTTTGCAGGAGAGGTGATGAGCTGGACAGAATCATCCTATCGACCAGACCCAGCCACAGGTTGCCAGTTGCACCAGCCTGCTCCTCCAACACCAGAGTGCCAAACCTACCTTTCTCAGGGTGGACAGGGTGAGCAAGCCTTTGAAGAACTTAAACTGCACGTATATCCCTGCTGTTGTGTAAGCTCTAGTATGTTTAGAAAACTGACAAGAAGATGCACAGCTAATCCTCCAAATAAAACAGTCAAGATTTCAGTAGATAACACTGAGGATGAGACAAATAGAGAAGCAAGTTGTGGCCAGGGAGTAAGTTAGCTGGGGTGTAAGGGCTATGGCCTGCATATATGAAGCTGCAGAAAGAAGAAATGAGAAATAAGCCAAAAATGCTTTTTTGTAAGGAATGGTTGGCAAAGACTTTGGACATAGTACTACTTAGGACCAAAGATGAAGGAAAGGGAAGTGAAGAGGGCAGGAAAGGTATTAGACAGAATATTTACTCACAAGGCATCCAATCTCTACAGGTACCTCTGTCCCAAGCACAGGAAACTTGAAACTATGCAGTAAAGGTCCTGGGACCATGAGAAAAGACAAATCTACATGGATGCAGCAGGCACCAATTAAACAGAAGGAAACCTAACTCTTTGGAACAAAACCAATAGCAATAACAACAAATACGCTTTGGGACATACACATTTTGCAAGCATATAAAATTATGTATGTGACTGACTACAGCATATATAGTTTGATATTGTTTTCCATTGCTTCAAGAAAGGGAAACTGAAAATATGCACAAGATTGCACTGTCACCTCACAAAGGGATGATGGCTTTCATGATGCATAGTCCAGCACAGAACGCAAGCCCTTCTAAATTAATGAATTAAAAGCTTCATGGCTTTTGTTTGTTATGTCCCTAACATAGGAGGATT